TCTCACTTGTGACATGGATTCTGGGGAGTGAGCTCTGTGTACCATAGTATACATCTCATTTGGGACATGGATATTGGGGAGTGTGCTGTGTGTACCATAGTATAAATCTCACTTGTGACATGGATACTGGGGAGTGAGCAGTGTGTACCGTAGTATAAAATCTCACTTGTGACATGGATACTGGGGAGTGAGCAGTGTGTACCGTAGTAAAAATCTCACTTGTGACATGGATACGGGGGGAGTGAGCTGTGTGTATTGTAGTGTAGAGCTCAATGACCACATGGACACTGGTGGGGTGGGGGTGAGCTGTGTGTACCGTAGTGTAGATCTCACTTGTGACATGCATAGTAGGGAGTAAGCTGTGTTATGGTGTGCAGGTCTCACTGGTAATATGGATACTGGGTAGTTGATCTATGCTCACTGGAGTGTAGACTCCATTGGTCACACGGATACTGAGGAGGGACCTGTGTGTGATTGAGTGCAGATCTCATTGGTGACATGGATACTGGAAGTGAGCTGTGTGCAATGATGGAGAGCAGATCCCACTGGTGACACAAACTGAGGAGTGAGTGGTGTACTGTAGTTTAGATCACATTGGTGTTGTGGATACTGGCAAGTGTACTGTTATATACAAATATCACTTGTGGCATGGATACTGGGGGGTGAGTTGTGTGTACTGTAGTGTAGATCTCATTTGTATGGATACTGGGGGGTGAGTTGTGTGTACTGTAGTGTAGAACTCAATTGTATGGATACTGGGGGGTGAGTTGTGTGTACTGTAGTGTAAAATCTCACTTGTATGGATACTGGGGGGTGAGTTGTGTGTACTGTAGTGTAGATCTCACTTGTATGGATACTGGGGGGTGAGTTGTGTGTACTGTAGTGTAGATCTCACTTGTATGGATACTGGGGGGTGAGTGACATACTGTAGATACTGGGAAGTGAGCTGTGTTACTGAGTACAGGTCTCACTGCTCAGATAGATACTGGGGAGTGAGTTGTGTGTTATGGAGTGGAAATCTCATTGGTAACAGGGATACTAGGCAGTGAGGTGTGTACAGAATTATAGGCCTCATGCGCACTTGATGCTTTGGCCATCAATCCTAGTTGCCTTTACTTCTAGAAATGGCATTTTGGCAGAGAAAAAAACTCTTGGCTCATGTAACGTATTTAGGCGCCTCAGGCACTTGGGCATTCATTTATTTCATTGACCAGAATAATAATTTACTCTGGCCATTGAAATTAATTAGTGTTCAATCACTAGACATGCCTAGCGTTAATGTGTGTTTAGACACATTTACACATGTAGGTGCGACAAGCATTTTTTTGTGCTAAAGCATCGCTGCTCCTAGACACACTGGCATAATTTAAATTTTTTTTCTGCCTGTAAGCTCCTCTTAATGCATATGTGTGCATGGACACATTGACTAACATACAGTGACATTTAGAGGCAGAAGAAAATGCCAGATGTAGATTCTATTTGTGACATGTGTAGCACTACCACCTTAGGGGCTGCTGGATTTGAATGGTTCCCCTATGCTCTGCATGCCCAGGCAACATGCATTTTTCACACTTGAAAATCCAAAGTCAGAAAACAGTCCATGGACTTGGGTCTTTTTTCTTTTATTAAGGATTGAACTTGGATGGGGTAAAGGGGTTATGGGACACCCAATTTGATTGAAGAAATAGCAGAATGAGGATATTTCCTGTTCTAGCACACTTAGTAAAAAAAAACAACAAACACATAACTGCATCCCAGCTAGGACCATTACAGTCCTTAGTAAAGTATCCCCTGAGTGGTCTTCTAGTAACGTGATAATGTGTGGAAGCTCTTGGACCAAGGAATACCAGCCCACTTGGCTCCAGTATGTAATCCCTGGACAAAGGATTGGGAAAGCTATGAACTGTACCCTGAAGACTTGCCAAAACTTGCATTTAGCAGACCTCTCCATTATAAGCCCTGGGGTGTAGAGGTCCTTACACTGTCCTTGTCCTGCAGATAGAACTGCTTTCCGGTCACTGGGCTGGTTCCTCTCCAAGCTTTCCAGGTAGTCCTTCCCCAGTGGTCAGCAGGGCAGTGGAGTTCCCTCTTTCAGCTTTTCCTCAGCTTCCAGCCTCCAGCCTGGAAGCAGAACCCCCTCCTCTGGGGCTCCCTCCCAGACCACACAGCAACACCTCTCAGCAATCCATCTTCTACCCGACTCCCCTGCTAGCATGGTTCTATCATATTTATGGGCTAAGTCTACCACACTACCAGGGCCTCTTAGCCTGGGATTAGTCAGACTCCCATGAATATGCAGATTGAGGTCTCCTTCCTTCTGCCTATTTGCTTCTGAAATCTTCCATGGACCTCCAGAACCAGGTGGAGGCAATAGAGTCCCAAGCGATCATCCAGCCTGACCTCACACTGAACCCACAGAAATTCAGCCTCACTCTCTACCATGAGCCAAAAATAAATTTACTATTTTTTACTAGCCCCATCTAGTGGGTGCTACACATGGACACTGGGTGGGTGCTACACATGGATAGCTGTGTGTACTGTAGTGTAGATCTCACTTGTGACATGGATACTTGCGAATGAGCTGTGTGTTATGGAGTGCAGGTCTCACTGTTGATATGGATACTGAAAGTTGAGCTTTGTTCACTGGAGTACAGACCTCATTGGTCGCATGGATACTGGGGAGTGAGCTCTGTGTGATTGAGTGCAGATCTCACTGCAGACATGGATACTGGGCATTGAGCTGTGTGTGATGATGGAGAGCAGATCTCAATGGTAACACGTAAACTGGGGCGTGAGCTGTGTTTACTTGTAGTCTAGATCTCACTGGTGACATGGATACTGGGAAGTGAGCTGTGTGTACTTGTAGTGAAGATCTCACTGGTGACATGGATACTGGGGAGTGAGCTGTGTGTACTTGTAGTGAAGATCTCACTGGTGACATGGATACTGTGGAGTGAGCTGTGTGTACTTGTAGTGAAGATCTCACTGGGGACATGGATACTGGGGAGTGAGCTGTGTGTACTTGTAGTGAAGATCTCACTGGGGACATGGATACTGGGGAGTGAGCTGTGTGTACTTGTAGTGAAGATCTCACTGGTGACATGGATACTGGGAGTGAGCTGTGTGTACTTGTAGTGAAGATCTCACTGGTGACAAGGATACTGTAGTGTGAGCTGTGTGTACTTGTAGTGAAGATCTCACTGGTGACATGGATGCTGGGGAGTGAGCTGTGTGTACTTGTAGTGAAGATCTCACTGGTGACATGGATACTGGGGAGTGAGCTGTGTGTTTTATAGTGATAGATCTCACTGGTGACATGGATACTGGGGTGTGATCTGTGTGTACTTGTAGTGAAGATCTAAATGGTGACATTGATACTGGGGAGTGAGCTGTGTGTACTTGTAGTGAAGATCTCACTGGTGACATGGATACTGGGGTATGAGCTGTGTGTACTTGTAGTGAAGATCTCACTGGTGACATGGATACTGGGGTGTGATCTGTGTGTACTTGTAGTGAAGATCTAAATGGTGACATGGATACTGGAAGTGAGCTATGTGTATGTATTGTAGTGAAGATCTCACTGGTGACATGGATACTGGGGAAGTGAGCTGTATGTACTATACTATAGATCTCACTGGTGACATGGATACTGGGGAATTGAGCTGTATGTACTATACTATAGATCTCACTGGTGACATGGATACTGGGGAATGAGCTGTATGTACTATACTATAGATCTCACTGGTGACATGGATACCAGAAATGAGTTGCATGCAGTGGAACACACAGCTTGATTTTGATTAGGGATGAGCAAATCTGCAGTTTTGCCAATCTTACTCAAAGTTCAAAGATCGAGAACTTTGCAGTGAACCCCACTGATTTTTTTTTATTCAGGTATGGCCAAACAAAGAACATGGGAACCCAACACTGCCATGGGAGACAAGTACCAATGCCAAAATTAAGAAAAAAAAATCCTTATCTTTGTCTGAACAGAAATGTCAGCACTTCCTAACAGCTCCAACATTGTCAATATGGCTGTTGTGAGCACACTCACAAGGGGGCTGGGGTATCTGTTCCTTTACGTGGCTACAAGGCACTGAGCAAGCATTGTGCTTCTTTAATTTTGGAAAAATGTAAAATATCTATTTGCAGATTACCAGTTGTGTCGATCCATCGGTCTCGCTGTCTAACCATTTAGACAACACATCGCAGGGACTCTAAATAATACATAAGAAAAGCCTGAGGCGCTTGTGTCTTGCAGGATTAACAGGTGTCATTTAGCTGAATGTATCATTGTGTCCTGTGCTGTCGTAGCAGGCCGCACTGTAGTTTATGACAATGTCTATAAATGAAGTCTATGGATAACATATTGCAGACGGTTTTAATGTGGTTGTAAAATAACAGTTTAATAACAATAATGCAACTTAAAACCTAACTCTGGAAAACTTTAAATGATCCCTTGCAGTGGGGCTGTGCCCGCACTGCGAGGGTAAAATGCTCATTTAAGTCTAGTATGTGAGCTCCTTGCTGCTGTTTTCAGTGTGTTAATTGTTACTTCTGCTTTACCAAATTAAAATTGTGCCACTTCCTTGGTCTCCAAGTTCTTACCTGTTTTCAGTTCCAGTGCTGCCCTCTTCTCCCTGAAGCTCCTGTCTGGGGGGACTAATAACCCTGTATTGTATGTAGTCAAGATGAGTAGCTTACAGTAGCTCTTGGGTACCAATCAACTGGCCCCACCAATATCATGATGTCATGAAGATAAATGCATGGTCCATGGCTCTGCACTGGATGTGAGAAAGCCTAGAGACCATCCATCACTGGAGCAGATGGGAGCACCATCTGTTGGAGGAACAGAGGATCATGTAAGTAAAGGCACGTCTCCTTCCCTTAGACAAAACAAGCAGGTAACCCTTGCAGCGCAGGCACAGCTCCACTGTAAGGGATGATTTTATAGTTTCCCAGAGTTGGGCTACCACCATACTGTAAGAGTTAAAGTGCTACTAAACCCACAAGAGTAAAATCAGTCTGTATATGCAGTTTAGCATGCTTGATATACTCACTGTGGAACTTAAGGGGTTAATCCTCTGCATTGTGTAAAAATGCTGTTTGATCCTGTCTTCTCTGATCCTCCCTTTCTTCCAGTATCCCCCTCTTATCTCCTGTGAAGACACTGCACATGCTCAGTTTGGTGTGTGTTGCTAGATAGTTTTTTTCTTCTCGGGAGAGTGCATGTGATCAGCACAGAGCCAGGGGCGGACTGACCATTTGGAAACTCGGGCACTGCCCGAGGGCCCGGGGTCAGTAGGGGGCCCCATGAGATAGCCCTGGTACCTTTTTCATAGGCTTTTTTGAGTTTGGGCAAGGACACAGGGGCCCCATGATCCCTTATTGCCTGGGGGCCCCATGAGTTGTCAGTCCGCCCCTGCACAGAGCCAATCAGTACTGTCCAGACAGGGGGTCAGTGGTCATGCATCCTCCTAGAGCAGAAAGAAAACTCCTACAAGCTTTAACCAGTGCTCTGGTGGACACTGATAGAAGTCACAGGACTGCTCTAACTGTTGATGGGAAAAGGTGTTTAGCAGTTTATATTTACTAAAATAATTGCAGTTCCATGTTGTGTGTACTGTGGGAGCCCAGATATAGTGAATGCAGGGTCATGGGTTTAGTAACACTTTAAATGCTTGTTATTACAGGGAATTGCAGAGGAGGCTGTATTACTTACACTCCAGCACCCAGGTTTCCTCCAGCAGTGTGACTGGTTTTCCACAGCCACCCCTCTAAGCTTCTCATCTTGACTACATACAATACAGGGTTATTAGCCCCCCCCAGACTGGAGCTTCAGGGAGAAGAGGGCAGCACTGGAACTAAAAACAGGTAAGAAATGCAGCCTCTTCCTATGGATGCACACAGCTCAGCAGGGGAGTGAGCCCAAAGTTTCACCCCCATAGGAAACAGGTTCCTGTGGTGCCACACAGAGAAGAGAGGGAGCCAAAATTCCTGTTGGGGGACCCCAGAAGAGGATATTCAGGGCCATTCTGTGCAATATCATTGCACACAGAAGGTAAGTATAACATGTTTGCTATTTTAATTAAACTAATACAAAAAAAATACAAAAGTGCTTTAAAGATTATGCACACATACTATGGGATAGATGGATGATTGCATAGATAGATAGAAGAATATGGTACTGCTATATGCGTAGAGAAGCAGGTGCAGGTTTTCAAGACAATCTGTTAGTTTAGACAATAATATAGAAAACAGAAACAGTCCAGGCATCTTCATGTTTGCTGATAAATTTACTTATACATCAAAAGTGACATTAACTGAATGAGGTCTGATAAATGTCCTCACCTTTTCACAATACTATTTATACAAACTGTAATAGATATAGTAGCATTCCCAATCTCTGTAGCATTTTGTACTTTCTTTGCATAGCATCATTCACTGCCTTAAAGCAGAAATACATTCTGCAGGCTGGTGAGCCATAATGTACAAATATGTATTGGGCTGTTTCAGGGAGGCCAGGCACTAGGCTTTCTTCTGATGCCTGCTCCCCTGAGCTGTAGTACAGGGCCGTGCAGGTAGGGGCGTATTTACCACAAGGCTAACAAGGCATTTGCCTAGGGCAGCATTTTTCAGGGGGGCAGCACTGCCCTACTGGAAGAAGGGACACGTGCGGCTTGGGAACCAGATGGGATCTCAGAGAGGCTGTGGGCTGCTTGACTCTCATTCGCGGGGATGTCCTCAGCTGTGAAGGTGAGAGTCTTTCTCTCTCTCGCTGGGAGGGGAGTGGCCGGTGTATGGGGGCAATGGTAGTGGAAGGCTCTCTCGGGTGGGGGGGGCAGGGGTGTTGTTGGTCAATGAGGCTCTCTCCTGGAGGGGGGGGGGGGATTTTGTGTTGAAAAAGAGAGGAAGGCACCTCCAAGTGCAGTATTGACAATTTATTGGTGAACAACAGATAAATTGCACTTACAAGATAAATAGTTAAAAAGACTCATCATGTGTGGTGTAATAAGATCCAGGTGAGACATCCAGCTCTCCAGCAGCAACTCTGTCTATAGGATCTGGAAGTAAAGCCCAGGATGTGTCTGTGCATCAAAATGAGGCTTGGAGAGCAGAGTTGGATGTAGGAGGTGAAGGGGGTGGTAGCGTGTTTTGGAGCATGCTTTTAGCAGGCTCCTTCTTCAGACCTTCAGACCAGTAGGTCTGAAGAAGGAGCCTACTGAGCATGCTCTGAAACGCATTACTGCCCCCTTCACCTCCTACATCCAACTCTGCTCTCCAAGCCTCATTATTATATCCTCTGTCATGGGCTCCAGGTGCCATCTTGGGAAAGCCTATGTGTATTTCAGATGCAGTATTCCTGAAAGATTGGCGACCATTTTTGTTGGCAGACGTGCAATATATTTATGTTTCACAAACTGCCCCTTAGGGTGAGAGAGATGCAGGGTCAGGAGAGATGTAAGAGACTACCATGACCAGGAGAGATGTATGGGACCCTTCCCGTATGTGGGTAACAAGTGTATCCCCTTCTAGGCTTTAATGGACTGAAGCTTGAGAAAGGCCTAATGCAGCAGGGTAGAGGAGGGAACTTTCACCCTACGTGGGAACTTGTCTAGGCCTGAAACTACCTAGCGGTATGTGAACAAGTGTTTTCTGACAAGGAAGCTGAGTGGTGGTTTTGCTATGGAGTCTTGGACTGTCCTTCACTGAAAATGTGCTGGAGGCTATGTGGCAGAAACTGACTAAATAATCTGCCACAAGAAGGTGCTACAAGTATGTGCGGTATACCTGCACATTACGGCACACATACTGCACAAGGAGACTCCATCAGTGCTGATAGATCCAGTCTCCAGATGTCACTCTGGTGGACACCATCTCCTTTGCCATTTCATTCAAGTCTGGCAGTACTCCTCCTTGGCCATTGGACAGACACTAACAATTTGGTCTTTTTTCAGGTTCCCCCTTTCCCCTTGTTTTCACCTAGTGATCCTGCCAGTAACATAGAATGGGCACACCCACTCACTATACCATATCTATAAGGAGCAGCATGGTCACCCACACACAGAAAGTGTGTTAGGATTACAGAACACCTATCCCTCTCCTCATCTGCATAACATCGGGGGAAAGTGTGTTTTGCAGTCCACAGAATAGGGCTGACTAATGCAGTGGTGGGCAACCTTTTTTTTCAAAATGAAGCCAAATCTTCAGTGAGATTTCAGTGCAGCATTGTCAGCTTAGTACTAGAATTAGGAGCTCACTAGATCTCTGACAAGATCAACAGGTATTTTTCACTTGTTGAACAGATAACAAAAAAAAAAGAAACAAAAACTTTGTTCTATACTCTAGACAAAAAAGTGAAATAAATAAAAATAAATAAATAAATGAACCAAACAAAAGAAATAAATAATAATAAAATAAATATATATATGTATATATAAAATCAATAAAAGTTTAAAGTGGATTCCACGTACCATGTTTTAATATACTATGTTTATAATAAGCCACAAAGGATATAAATCAGTTTTGTGTGCACCAAATGCAAACTCAAATATTACCCTGTAAAAAAATAGCAGTAACATCGACACTGTGCTGTAGATAGTCTAAGCAGAGAGCAGGGCTGTGGGAGGAGCCCAGAAGGCTCCGCTCACTACAGTCTGCCTGCAGAAAACTACAGGAAGGGGGTGGAGACAAGACCAGTCATCCTGCACAAGGAGAGAAAGGGGCACGACCAGTCTTTATTACAGGGACCTCCTGCACAGAGGTAAAATTTCACACTGGATTACTGCACAGAACTGGAAGAAATACACAAAGTAACCAAGATCCAAGTAGGAATACACATGACTCTTATATGTAGACAATGTTTGCTTATCCTGGAGTTAAGCTATAACCCTAAAGAGGAAATAAAAGATGATGGAAGTACATCTGCTGTCAACCTTATTTTCAATTTAATCTGCTGTGACGGGCAGTTAAAGTGGAGCCATGGGCAAGATAAAAGATGACATATATGATGCAGTCTGTCAATAGCTTTTACACGGCAGTTTAAAGTGAGAAGGTACCACAAAAAATATACTATATATGGTGTATTTTTTTCCTAAGATGACACTGAGGTATTTTAGTAAATATTAGATGCAAATATTCTTTCTGGGGCCATGCTATAGGAAATCGAAACCCAACACAGTCCTCTCTCACCTCTGCTGTCTGAACCTAATGTTAGTTTTTTACTGCTGTCTTTTTACTATGTGAGTAAATGTATTCCTTTATCTATTATTGGACTGACAAGCTTGTAATATTGATTATGAGACATGCCTGAAGACAAAAGCAGATACTGATAACTCTACTATCTATAAAAAGGTAAAACAAAAAGAGAATATTGCATGACACAAGCTACACTGGAAGCAAAAGAACAACTAAATTTAAAAAATAAAAAAATAAAATGACATGGGAGTAATAAAAAGAGAGATTGGAAAAAGGTAACAGAAGTAACCAGAAATAAAATGATAATAATAAAATATAAAAAGTATGAAGATGAAAAAAAAATACAGAAGTAAAGTGTAGAAGTTACAAAGTAGAGGTGGGCAAAGTAAGAGAAAATGCAAGGGACTGGATATTGCTTGATCAAAATACATTGTGTGAATGTGAAGTGGCAAGTCAGTTATTCAGCACTCAACAACAGAAAATTGCCGGTTTCAATCACTACTGGCTTCAAAATAACAGCATAATTAAGTCTCATTAAACCCACATATGATATCAATAAATGGTGTATTACAGTACATGCTGTTCATACTCACTCACTCACTATGGGATTTGTGTTCTGTATCTTCCCCTTCAGTCCATGTCCCCAATGCAGTTGCAGAGCAGTGTTGCCAGCTCTGCACGTGCTCATTTTCAGTAAGTTTCTATGCTGAGCAATTCCTCCTTTTCACATCTGAGAAGCCCATGGGACTATAGAGTCACACATGTGGGCGTATACACAGTGGTAAATGACAGCCACTCCCTCCCTCCTCCTCCTTGTCCATTAGCCAGTTAAACACAATGGGGATAGAATATGACATATTGATTGATGGAGGTTTCACACCTCTGTTATTCTAAGGCACAGGCTGGAGGGGTGTGACACAACATGTGACTGGCAGAAACCCACCCACACCATGTTTTTGCC